CAAATCACTAATGTGGAAAAGACCAAACATGAAAATATTTTCTAACTGAGATCTGAAAGTTGGAGGAATACAAGGTATGCTGCAGTATACTCCACAATTCTTGTGCACACCAGCATGTGGATCCAATGGGTTTCCATATTCATAATCATCTAAATATATAAATAAAGGGAATATTATCTGAGATACTTTGTATGTTTCAATTCTTTTCTTACAAAAACTTGTCTGAGTAATGTTGAACATTTTTTTGTTGTTTTTCAACTCATTCATGTATGCCAATGTTGCAGATAATATGTTCGGTATTTCTAAATATGTTTTGAAAACTTTGTTTAGAGGTATGAATTGTGCATGATAGTTCTTAGGAAGTACCAGTTGATCAATATTTCTATCCAAACGCTGACCAATCATATATTCCTTAGGTTTGATGAAGTAATCTGATTTTTCCAAATTCTTCAATCTCAAATAGTGACTATCTCATTCTCCAAACATATGTTCTACTCCCAAGAGATGGTCGCCTTATATCGATTTTTCAATATCACTCAATTCATAAAAATCTAAAAGGTTTTCAATAGTCTCCTTGAGAGGTACAAAAATTCCTTGATTTAAATCTTGAACACTATCGACAATGGTTTGTACATCTTTTCTGCTGAAAGTGTTGTCACTATAGAATTCAGAAATATAAGTTGTCTTATTTTCCACTATATTCAACTTGAATTTGGCAAGCATAGAATTTAAGCTATCAATTTCATTATTCTCGTGTAGTTCATAAGATGTCAGAAGAACAGAATCATGTTTTATAATAAAAATTGGAGTTTCAACAGTAGTAGTGCCTTCATAATGTTCATGTTGAGTTGTATATAAAAACAAAATGATATTCGAATTGACAATCTGAGAAAAAGCATCATAATCTGTTCACTTTCAAAACTCACCAGTTCAATTCCTGATTGCAACCTCAAACAAGGAAATTTCTTGAACAGCTCATCAATGGTTTTATTACTATCTCTGGCTCTTGTAGTATGAGTCTTTTCCCAATATTCTAGAATCTTGAAATGAGGTTCGACAGCAACATTTAAAAAATCTATCTCTTCATTATGAATCACTTTCAGGTTCCTTTTGGTCCACTAAGGATTTCGGGTCAGAATGCTTCTTTGTTAGAATCAAACCGAGAGTCAAACTCAGTGCATGTTCATTATTGGCATATCTTGACAACAATCTACCTTTTGCTAGGTGTCCTTAACCTTTGTATGGTACATTATATATGGCCGCATTTTCACCAGGGCATAGCTCCACAATTTTTTGACTTACTTTGTTGAATGTTTCAGTAGTTAGTTTGCTAAAATATAATCATGGTGGAATACAAATGTTTCCACATCTGATAATCAAGCGGAATTAGTGTGAAATGACTGAACTGCACTGTTCATTGATAGGAAAGAATTACATGGGAGCGTCTCTGTCGAGGCATTAGAAACGGTTTCTTCAGCCGCTGAATTCAGGGGCTGCAATAAAGTTAATAATGTTATTCACTGTTGAATTCAGGCTGCCCCACGTGATTATATCTCCATATATACTTCATGAGTACAAAAATATCGGTTTTTGAAGAGAAGCCTCATTCCACTCTTTTATTGAATGAGATTCATGGTTTCCATATCTAAGAGTTTGAAACTTTCGTCTGTTATGTTTTCTCATGAAATACGAATAAAAAAATCAGACTGATATGGCACAAGACATAAAAAATTAGTGCCTATCCTAGCCACAGACGACTCTATCGTCAAATTTGTACCTCCACAGTGGTCAGATTTATTATTTGATACCACACACACACTGCACTTTCAAGGAGTACATCGCCATACAACGTGTCCATTTCTTCTCATATTACGAATTACGACTATACCTTTGTTGAAGATTCAGATGAAGGGAATGAGAATGGAATCGAAAAGAGCATGTTAGCGTCTAGCAACTAGATACGCTACAGGCAGCCGAATTGAGAGCAAGTGTAACCCTTGTCCACGTCATTTGTGCTCTTTTCAATCGAATCGTGACCATAATATAACATCAGGAGTGGATGAATTACCCATGCCTCGGTGGAATGACAAAATGCAATTATTTTTCCGACGATTTTCACGGCGAAACAGATAGCCCCGGTTGAGGTATTAAGGTATTTATGGGTGATGCATCCACGGCATTATGTGATGTTTTATTGAATTGTAAGTACTTGAGTCCTTCAAGATGAACAATACTAATGAACCAATAGTACGAAGGTCCAGTAACAGAAAATTTCGTTCCTGAAATCCAGTTCTTTTTCTTTTTTTATTTGTCTCGAAGAACGATGATAACGAGGCTGATGACGTTGACATTCCGATCGAATATCAGGTATAAATTGGTACCTATTCGAATGTACTGGACGTTTGTTGTTCCAGTTTTTGATTGTATTGGCGATTGCACGTTAGGTATTTATTTTGGAATTTCGTTCAACGAACTCGCAATTTCAATTTGTAATGGTGATTTTGATGCATGTTACATAATATATTTGATATTTTTGGATATTCATGAGTCATTCGTGCATAAGCGGTGTTCCATTTCAACTGAGATGTTTATTTCAACAAAAGGTGAACAGTAGTTTGGATATTCAAATATTGTGAGATTTGAACAAGTTTTGGTGAGATTTGAAATGATCCCTGAAGTTTGCAAGATTTCCGTGAAATTTGCAGGAACTATCAACAAATGAAAGATTTTTGGTGATTTTCAATATACATGAGACTGTCAAAGATGAACAAGGTTCATCAAAATTGCACGGATTTTTCTTTTTCTCAACAGTTGCTAGAATTTTCAAGATTTAAAAGGATTTTTTTGGCTGAATAGGCTTAGAATTTAAGAATGAGATACATTGTTATGCGAAAAAAAAGTTCCAGGAAAGATGCTAATGACCTTCAGACATCAGTATATGGTGTGCAAATAAATTGGACAAATCTGAAATCATTTTGAAGGAATTCTCACATATTGTAACACCCTGTTAAAGTGTTATTCGTTTTGTGGGATACTTTGGTATGATTTTTTTTTTGTAACAAGAAGATGATTGTCTAACGATAACTTTCAATGCCAGCAGACCGTACGAAACAATGTTGACACTGTTGACAGGTCGAGATCTGAGGCAAGAGCTTATAATTTTTATTTCGTTTATCCGCTTGCTGGCCGTTTCCGCAAAAAAAAAAGATTCGACAGGCAGAGCCGAGTTTATACAGGGTGGCTTATGATAATGGGTTATTACAATATGTTTATTCGCTATCAACTAAGATTTTTGACTGGTATTGACAATCAGTGTGGAATTTGTTGACTGCATCCATGCTTGATAGGCATATCATGCTGAAATATACTGAATGAATATAAAGGGTATCTATTTGGTTGACTGACGCGTGTCTGGGGAAGGTGGCAGGTAATATGGTTTCGAACATGTTTGGCCAAACCGGAAAATTCCAGATAGGAATTCCGATGTACAAATGATGGAAATTCAATGGCAATGGCGGGAATTCGATAATTACAGAAGAATTGTGAGAATTTGAGGAGGATTGTGGAATTCAGAAAAATAATAATAATGATAATAACAAAATTTAAAGAAGAAATGTTTCAGTTTGGGCTTTCTGGTTTTTGGAAACTTGGGCTTCCTGACCGATAAAGATTTTTTTCAGTTTGGGCTTCCTGGTTTTTGTAACCTGGGTTTTTTGGCTGAAGGAATTTTCTCTATCAAGGTTAAGTTGATATGCATTTGTAGAATAAATTGTTGTGATTAGTGATTGAGTGTACTATCAAGGTGAAGCTGATTGGGGAGATGTTTGGTTAGCAATCCTTTGAAGTCAAGTACGTTGTCGTGTCGTTTGACCTCGTATTTGCAGACATAATTGTGAACTAAGCCTCTGAGCTGCTATATAACTGTTTTTTCGGAGACACGTTCAACTCACAAACCTTTGAGTTGTCGACTACTTCGCATATAAATTTGAAATAATATCAAAAAATCCTGAGCTGCTACTACTTGGAGTATATCGAGCGACGAGAGTCAGAAGAGCACAAGTGTCATCACCTATCAAGTAGCAACTAGATACGCTACTGCTGAGTGGAATGTGCTTAAAACAGAACCTATGACAGACATGTGTGAAGAATGGCTCATACAGTGTTTGGCAGGCAGCCGAATTAAGAGCAAGTATTGTGATCATAATATATCAGAGCACAATTTAATATTAGTGAGACATATACAGAGTGTCCCAAAAAGCGTCGCACGAAGAAATATCTGAATTTCAAATGCAAAGCACTATATTTTTTATTGTAATTGATCGCCGTATTCAAATGCTTATCTCCAACCCTCATTTTTTCTTCAGATGAAAAATCTAACCTTCTCGGTCAAGTAATTCATGTATCAGCGAGTTTTCTAATGGGATATCAAATAATGAAATAACCAGAATACACTGAATTGAAAGTGTAACTAGAATTATAGTTTTCGGTACAGATTGATTTAATTTCTGTTTCAAAAATAGCAATATTTAATTCTTTTTCTGAACATATTCTTGAAATTGAACACCCTGTAATCCATCAGAAGGCTAGATTAAACCTCGAATCACTTTTATTTTGATATATCAAATGTGAACTTTCATTCGCATTTTCTCAGGTAGGTAGACCTACCTATTGCTATTGGAAAAAATCAGTTCAGCACTCAATAAAGCTTATTTTTATGTGTTGCGAGAACATTCAGTTTATTGTGGAGATTGCACATTTCATGAGAGAGGAAATTTCATAACGAAATACTTCGTGAACACGACCAATGTGTTTGAAAAACCAGATTATATTATTATTTTTATCTTGTATGAGCAATAATAAGTAGGTATCTAATGTTTTCAAGGCATTGTTCTTATAGGAACGCCATTCTATAATTGTCCTTGAATTTCCTGTTATTGTGGTATCCGAAAATTAGAGGTTATATTAGTTACTGTAACAAGATTGGTATTGAATATTCCCAGGCTGATGATGACCAAATTTGTGAAAAACATTATAATCTCGACACGTCGATCGACCTGAGAAAAAGACTGGATTGGAGACGGTTGGAAAGAGGTTACATCTAGGGTTACATATACATACATAGATTACTATATCAATAAAAGCAAAGGAATAGAGGTAGTTCCATTTGAGAGAAAACATTGTAAGTCAATTGAATATTGCTATTTTTGACTCTGAAAATAAAATACGTTGATTTGAAAATCATAATGATCTCTCCTTTCCGAAGAAACCAAGAACAAACATACAACCTCCAGAAATTCAAAAAAAATTCCACTACCTACCTTCTTTTCCCCTCTACTCCAGGCATGCATGATGTTTCACGAAGATAATAGGTATTCCCTTTCGTGCGTTCCAAAAGATGAAACAAATTGTAACATCGGTATGAATTCCAATGAAATAATGTCAATGAGGTAGGTAGGGTATTTCAGTTCAAATAGCTTGGCAATACGATCTTACAGGGTGTTTCAAATTCGATTCTCACCATTGAAATCTCGGAAACTATAAGAGATGAATGCAAAACTTTGCCCCTACCTAACCATCTTCCTATCTCTTCTAGTTCTCGAGATTCCAATGGTGAGGATCAAATTTGAAACACCCTGTATGGGTACCTTACTAGATATAACTTGATAACGCTTCATCAGATCTTGAAAATAGAGTTGTAGGAAAGGGAGTTCACAAAAGGCTCTCAATTAGAGTAAGAATAATACAATATAGGTACAGGTATACTGGTATTGGGACACTCTGTATAGGTATGTCCTCGTGTATGTCTCACTAATTTTATATTGTATTTCATATTTTGGAATTGATTTCAAATCCTTCCAATCAGAAGTATAGAAGACCTCGAGATAATAGGAACATAAAAAATTTCGGGAAATCATTCGAACGCATTGCGCTTCAATTGACTCGCCGCTCGCCGGCAACGGTTTACCGTGCTTGCCAAAACTGGATCCTTCTTATTCAGTCAGTACCTACCTATGCTCTACTCACTCAGTGGAAATAATCATGGTGAATTCCACGACCACCCATGAGGTAGCAGCGTGGCTCGTTACTTTTTATCCCGATGGGTGTTCGCCTTTCTTATTTCACAGGGTGAAGCAGGAGGAATGCACGAAACTTCAGTTATGTACCTTATCTACACTCAAAAATGATTTGAACAATATAACGTGTTGCTATCATAATGTCATGTATCGCCATGTCGAAAGCCATAACAAAATGTCATTCAGATCTGGTGTGAGTGTATCTTCTCTCCAGGAAAATGAGACAGGTAGTCTGACTGAGTTCAACCCTCCATTCCGCGCACAATTTTCTACGGCCAGCGGCGAAAAGTGGCGAAACACTATTAGGAAGAGGATAGACCATTGAAACAGGAACATATATCAATAGATCTAATAGTGTAATGGGCCAAAACTACAACAATATTTTCCTCATGTATGAAGCCCCATAAGTCATAAGGAGATAAATTGAATTATAGTGATAGAAACTTGCACTTAAGGTTTTCATCTAACTGGGAACAACTGTTCGATTTCCACCAATATATGACTCTAATGTCAAAACGTATATATGTATGGATTCAAAATTATTATGATAAATGGATAATAACCATAATTTTTGAATGTTATTTCTCACTATGCAAGTGAGTTATCAAGAAGATACCTAGTGGGTTGATTGCAAATGTTGAGAAACATTGTAACGTCGCAATTTTCAGGGGGTAATTAATGATATAATTTACTTAAAATTCTACCCCTGAGTTGGCTGTTTACTTGCCTTAGATTTACTTGGTATTTTAAACCTCAAAAGTTTAGCTACAAAGAATAGTGTTTGAAGTGCCAAGTTTGAGACTGTAGAAACCAAACACTGGTAGTTCAGTGAGACAATGGGGTGGGTACGTTAAATGCCAATTTACATAGGGTGAATATCGATTCAATAACAAGAAATGTAGATTTAATAACATAAATATTGAAAAATATAGTCTTCATTAAAAATGTGTACTGATATAAAGAAAAACAAACAATCAGGAATAGTTTTATACTGATAGCCGTATTTGGTGGTAGTTTTCAACTCTTATGTCAGGTAAAATGGAACAGACTCATCAAAATTGAAGATGACAGGCGAATATGTTCAACAGTGGAGTCAAGCTGTCAAGTACAGGGTGTAGGCGGCCACGTCGTTCATATACAGGGTGTTGAGAGTAGGGTAGAAATGAGAGAAGCAAGACGGCTCCCCCCACTCTAGCCCCCCCCCCCCCCCCCCCCCCCCCAAAACTGGTTTTTAAAACTGGTTCTCAAAACAGGTTTCCCAAAACTGGTTTCCCAAAACTGGTTCTCAAAACTGGTTTTCAAAACTGGTTCTCAGAACTGGTTCTCAAAACTGGTTTTCAAAACTGGTTCTCAAAACTGGTTTCCCAAAGTGGTTCTCAAAACTGGTTTTCCAAACTGGATTCATATGAAAGCAGTTCGACAACAACCAGATGAGAGTTCTATGACGGCACCCCCCCACTATATGAAAAATTATTTCCCATGGAATTAATGAGTTTCATGACCACCTATGAGAAGTATGGAGAGAGTCGATACAGGAGCCCCCTTCTACATATTTTCATATATAAATATCTCTAACACCATTCTGGTGTGTTGTGTTCTGCAGAGATGACTCAAAACTGTGATTATCTCCCTGAGCTCAAATTTTCTCTTTTTGAGAATATTCCGGATATTAAGTCAGTCAAAAAAAATTGTGTGATTCTTGGTGAACGAAGATATCAATTGAATAAATCTAAATCCAAATTTGTATCTGTAGGCCTTTTGTTGGAATCATATTATACACCATGTATAAAATTGAGTGGTTGCAAAAGTGAAGCATCTATAGTATTTAATGAGGTTGAGTGGAATGATTTGCTGGCATACCAAGGTATACTCACCAATTATTTATATACCAATGATAAAGCTGAACCAATAAAAACAGGAATATTCTCGGTTGAGTTTGAACAAATTTCCTACAACCGTGTAATAAAAATAATCAAGAATGATTCCTGCATCTACTTGGGATATGAATCAGTGTGCAAGCTATGGGAATTGCTACCTCTTGTGAAGTATAGAATGGAAATGTTCAAAAGGCAAGGCTTTTCTAATTACATCAAACATCTTCGAAAAGGTGTTCAGACCGTTGGAGGAAACGTTTTCACAACCGCAACAAATTTGCTTAGTGAAAATCACAATTACAGTAGTGAAAATGTGTGTATGGCCATGGAACTGATACACATTTATCCAGATATTTTTGAAGCAAGTCAAGATTGAGAATGAAGAAGGTGACATTCAGTGGTCAAGATTCTGTTCAATTATTGGTAACATGGACTTTTGCCTACAGTTCAGCTAGAAAAGGACATTGGCATATATTAGCATTAGATAGAATGCGCTTTTCAAAACGAATAAAAAAAGTATTCAATGTCATCACACCCATTTTGAATAAACAACACAGATGTAATATTTTTCGACAGAGATTTTGTGAAATAAATTAATTCATTTAAATAAAATTGTGTTTTATTATTGTGTCTACATGATTAAATCAATTCTTTTTCATTTATCCAGGAATTATGAGCACTGCTAAAGCCTAACCATTTCACCAGTAGTTTCTTTCCTTTTCTTCTTATCACCTTCTCAATCAAAAAAATATCAGGGTATTTAGCCTTCTGCAGTTCTTCAGTATAAAAAGCTCCTAAAATTGATTCACCTCGTTGATCCTCCAATAAGTATGTAGTTGGTTTGGAAACTTGTACTTTTATGATTTTGAAAACTTCATTCGACCAGTTGGGTGTATATCCTTTTGAAAATTGCCCTCTATATTTACTTATCCTAACAAAGTCACCCACTTTGAATTTGTTTTTTATGGGATCAATTGTTTTCAGATGACTATAGACTGTTTTCAGGAGTTGTTTTTCATTTGACATATCAATTTCAGTTGGTTTCATACCAGTTGTTGAATGCTTTGTATCATTATATTGTTCAACTATTTTTGGAATAATGTCTAACCATTTGTAAGATCCTTGCAAACTGAATTGCTTCCACATTGAATTTTTTAGAGTGCGATTCACTCTTTCCACAATACTAGCCTTTAAAGTGGAATATGTACTGTAATGATTCATTTTGAATGTTTCCATCAGATTTTTGAATTTAGTATTATAAAACTCAGAACCTTGATCAGTTTGTAAATTTTTTGGTATATATTTCATTTGATTCAGAATAGTTTTCATAGCAAAGGTAACATCTTTCGCTGTTTTTCGTTTAACTGGTTGTACCCAGACAAATTTACTGAAAGCGTTAATTACAACTAGTATATATCGATATCCTTTGTTGACTTTTGCATATGGTATCATTTCGACTAAATCAGCTTGAACTAGATCTTTTAATCCTTTGATAATAACACGCCTCCTTCTGAAATTTCTCCTTGCAGGTGCATGCAATTCCTCTACTAATTGTGTTTTACTCATCACTTTGATTTAATGGACACTGGAGAACAATCTCAACAAATAATTGTTCAGAGTTTGGGTTTAGTGTTGCAAAACTAAGTGTATCACCTTGTTTCAATACTTTTCCTAATATGTCATCCGTTAATGTTTTGTTGTTTAATACTATTTCAATATCTTTGGGGTAGGTTCGTATAGTTATTAAAGTACCCAGAGTGAGTGGAAATTCATAAATGGATGAATTGTTTTCTAAAACGAATGCGTGTAAATAGTCTGTACCAGCAAACAAATCACTTTGTTGTTGTTTTCCACTTGTTCCTCTAATTGTTAATAAGCAATTACTTGTTAACGTGGTTGGTTCACAAATTATAACAGACTGTGGTGCAGTAGATTGCCGCTTGTGGAAGATATGCCCCCCAAATTTATGTAGTGGCATATTTGGTTGTTTGATAGATAATGAGTTGTATTAAATCAGTAGGTGTTTTTTATTCAATTATACCACCTTCACGCAACTCCTCAACAATTGATACAATTTCGTTGTTAACGTTTGTATTCCCAGCCATTTGTGATGCGAACAATAATTTTAGTCTTTCTACCAACTCATTGAAATCA